AGCCCGCCGCCCGGCCCGGCCCGGCCCCGGCCCTCACTCCGGGATCCGACTCCACACGGCCGGCACGCGACGTCCGGGCCGGGCCCGTCGGTGGCCGGGCGGCGTGCAGAGACACGGAACGAGGACGAAGGTCGGTGGCAAGTCTGGAGGGAGCGTGGAGCGGAAGGCGATTTTTCTTTGTTCTCCGTAGGCAAGGTGCAGACACCAAACACGCGGGAGAGGAGACAATGATGGGAAGCCCAAGGGACGTGGAAGCCCGTTGAGACTGAAAAAGCACTTTGAGGAACTTTAAAGAACTTGTTTGTACATAAGAACTGCCGGCAAAAGAGACCTCACACTTCTCCTGGTTTGTGAGAAAGGGCGAGGGTGGATGTGGGATTGCTGTGGAAAGCGTAAACAAAACAACAACAAATTACCCCGAATGACTGATTAAGTGCCTTGCAAATCTTTATTATTATCCAAACATTTATGTTCATATGTTCTGGTGTACAGATGGTGCTAGTCAAGATGAAAACAGCAACAAAACAAACACGAAAGAAAAGCAAACACATTTTTGCAATGTATTTACAGCTCGTTTTCTCTTGGTGTTTTACCCTATTTCTGACTTGCTGTTTCTAAGTAAGTTGTGTTTGTAGAGCTATTTCCTAATCAGTATTGCATATGAATCAATGTTACCTGTCTGTTTTGGTTCTGCTGGGAAGGCCACTCAAACAGAAGATGGAGACTTCAGGCACCAGCCAGTGTGTTTCCAAAGAAGACTGGAACAGCAGGTGATGCTCGACGCCACCTCCCATGAGCGGCAGGGTCAGCGGGCAGACCTGGGGTCGATCACAGAGCAGGTGTACGTGAGCTTGAGAGACTGGAACGGAGAGAGGGGTGCGTCTTTAAGGTGAAAGGAGCCTTTAGGATCGGGCCCTGCTTACCCTTTGGATGGGATGTTTGTTCTGAATAGTTTCCCCTCCAAGTCCTGACGGACATATACTAGTTCCTTACCCACAAATCCAAGGTTTTTCATGGCCCTGACAACATTTTTCATCTTTGTTTTTATTCCAAAGACTCTGGAGTGAGAGCTTGAACCAATTCAACAGAGCCATATTTTTTTTCTTCTCTAGTTTTGCGAATTTATTAGCGCAGAAGATGTTTCCCAGTTTGGAGACCTTCTCGGGCTTGTAGATGCTCAGAGATCCCAACAGTATTACCATAGAACAAGGAAGGAGAGGGAGGGTGGCACAACTTTTTGTTTTCCGGAGTGCAGCTTAAATACAAGAAGTCCCAGCTCTCTTGTGCACCAAAGCCTCCATCCCAAGAAAGGACCAGGCGTGGCCCCTCAACCTTGGCACCTGAAGACAGAGAAAGGTTTCCTGTTGTACACCACACATGCAGGGCACACAGTGTCATGCATATGGATGTACAGGGCTTGACTCCAGGAACTTTGGAGCTCATTGTCAAACTGAGTTGTTCATCCCTGCCACAGTTCCCTTAGGGATTATTATCCCCGCTTGAGTGATGGAAACCCAAGGCACAGAATGGTCAAAGCATTGTCTGATAACAGCTGTGGATCAGCTGGGTGTTTGCTTACCTTCCAGGTCAAGGCCCTCTCCCAGGCCCCTGCAGCCTGCCGATTGATGGAGGTGCCCAGGGTTTTCTAGAGCACTGTTCTTTTTGCCCTCAAATGCAGAATACCTATGTGAGCCAACTTGCAGGTGAGGCAGTCCCGGCTAACCAGCTGCTTCCTGGGGAAAAAGAACCTTTGCATTTCTTTGTCAATGTTACACAGCTGGAGAAGCTCAGCTGAACTCAGTGGGTACCAAAGTCTTGTGCTTCCTAGTACCAGCCCTCTACTGGTCAGAACAGGGCAGAGACAGCCCTGAGCATTAGCATTAGCCCCATAGACTGGAAACCAGCTCCATGGATGACAAGTCTGGCTTTGTGTCCCGTTAGAGCTCTCTCTCCTCTGCAGACGTGCACACAGAAGCTTTGCTCCCATCTGATAGCTCAAACGGGCGAAAATATGGTGAAAGGTTACTCCAGAATGGATCATTTCCTCCTCTAGTTAACAAGTGTGTCTGCCACGTGGGGAGAAAGAGCTCCCTCATCCTAACCCCATTCTCAAGGGCAGCCCCCTGGCTCTGGGCACACCTCTGTCTCAGCACTTGTGTGGATGGGCTTGCTCAACAGCAGCATAAAGGAGGCTTCTGGACCTCAAGGGATGCTAACCTGTTGAGTTCGTTTGGGTTTTCCATTTGGCATCCCTTTGGTTGCTGGTTTGAAATATACCACTTCATGAAAAACCGTTAATGTGGGGATTGTCAAAGGTGAGTAGCCCAGTCTTTGTTGGAAACACATGCATCTGATGAGTAATCTGTGTCCTTTGCGTTTATCTTGCCCACGTCTCCGCACAGGTTGACTCGCTGTGCTGCTTTCCTTAGAAGGCCCGCGGTGGGGTTCTCATGCCTTTCCCGGAGCGAGACTAAGTGGAAACATCTCCAGGGATTTAAAATCTTGATCCGTGAATCTTTCCTATAGGAGTGGCCTTTGGCTTGCCTCCTGCCTAAACCTGCTTTATATGTTTGTAGCAACTTCATGAGATAACAAAAGGGTTGAATGAAATCAAGAGCTATCTTACCAAGTCAGATTGGCCTCCCCAGATGCCACACCATGCAGCATCTCTCAGGGTGCTATCGGCCGTGGTTTAGGGAGACAACCCTGCATGGAGGTTGTCCATTCTGGCTGTTTATTTTCTTTCCTTTACTTGTCTTTTCTAACCTAAGTAAGCTGAAAACATCTTAACATACCAAGTATTGATAAACCATGTGAAGAAGTTGTGAATTCTATGCTATGATGTGCTTGTTCCCGGTTCTACCTATGAGTTGACTATACAGCTGGTCAGCTATTCTGAATTAGTGCCAACAACTGAAGAACCCCTCATTCAATGACGAGATGTGTGGTTGGTCCAGGTCTCCTCCTGGTTTTGGTGACAGATAACCTAGGAGGCAAAAGGAATGTCAAAGAATGCATTATTCCATTTCATTATCCACAAATGAAAGGACCAGAAAAATGTTTATTTGAGATTAACACTTAGGCACAGAAACCTTAATTCTTTGTCTGAAATCTGCCCCACTCTCTACATAGTCTAGTCTGAGATGGAAGCATCAGCAGCAGAACAAAGCTCAGAGCCCAGAAGGGGAAACAGTGATACTGTCTCCAGGAGTGAATCCGTATTGCATTTCATGGTGGTGTTTCATGTTGCAACAGAGTGAGAGTTTGCTTTATCCTGGGCTTTCAAGCCCACCTGAGAGCTGCAACCTTTGATCCCCTTGTCCTTGAATTCCCCTCTCCATTACAGGGAAGCTGTCTCTAACTTTCATCTCTTCCAGATTTGAAATCAGAACACCCTGTCTGTTGTTTTAGCTCCAGTTGCTATTCTGAATGTGGGGAAACTTGAGAAGCAAATGCAGTGGTCGTTCTTATGTTGACACAGGTGGGGTTCATACAAGGGATCCCGAGCTGGGGAGGGGAGAGAAACTGGGATAAAATGCCATGCAGTCCAGAATGGGGAGATTGGCAGGTAGGAATCTGGCCGTTTGTCATAAATTAGTCTTAAGCTTGAAGTCTGTGTTCCTGGAAGGTGGCAGTGACTTCATTGCAGCCACAAAAACCATCCACGGTGGTGATGCAAAAAGTCTGACACACACACATACGCATCTTGTGCTGGTTCTCGGATTTCTGGATTTCTATTCATGTTGAGCAAGAGCCCTTTTCTGTGCTTCAGATTCTGGTGCCGATCATGAATTTTGGTTAATCCGTCAGACTTTATCACAGGTGTTACTATTTGAAAGCAGTTGTCTGATCTGGGTTTCCTGGCATAGAGGCAGGGCTTGCAAGAGCCCAGGCGTTTGTTAGCCTGGTTCTGCACACAGCTGCCTGTCATTGACCACTATTGCTCTGTAAGCAGGACTCCCAGTAAGTAATGATGTTGTGAATGTTTTTAAGTTCCCTGTTCCAAAAAGGGTTTAGGCTATAAAAGAAATTACTAAAGATGAATTAATTTCAAAATTGAAACCAGAAGAATTCATGAATTTACTCATTGTTCTTTCCTGCTAGAATATTAGCCCCACTCTGAGCACGTACTAAAAGATTTCCTCACTTTTAAGGGCAATGTATTTTAAACCCTGAAACCATGCCAGTGAGAAACACATTGAAAGCCCTGTTCTCGAGGACTTGATGCTGAATAAGCCATCCATTGGTACTGGCTGTGGGGCCTGCCTGCCGCCACCCGGGCAGTGTGGCCCATCTTCCCCACAGGGGACTCTCTTCAACACTGCCACACTGAGACTCGACTGCCCAAGTCAAGACAGGCCAGCCAAGCCTGCTTTTCTCTGTGCCAAAGGAAACAAAACTGACACTCAGTTCCACTGACACTGCCAGCAAATGGTCTAACAGTTTAGGGGAGGAATGGGGAGGGCAGGTGGTGGAATATAGTGTTCCTTTGGGTTATAATCTCTCTCCTCCTCCAGCAAAGATCTGTCAACATTTGTGGGTAAAACTCACAAACTGTGCAACTTAGCAATCCTGACAAAATACATATTTATTACAAACTGTTCATCATTTCCAGATAAAAGCAGAATTCCAGTCCAGGAGAAGCTCATCTTCTCAGACAAAAAAAAAAAATCTTTACAAAGTTTCAGAAGCTGCTTATCCATCCCTAAACAAACACATTCTGCTTTTGGGTGGCCCTGCTCAGAACTGGAGACCATGGCATAATATTGGACATATAGTGGTGCTTGAAATGGTACCAAGCTTTTAGTGCATATGATTAATTTCCTCTAAATGCAATTCCCAATGCCCACATATGTAGGGTGAGCGCTGAAGCCCTGGCACTCACACATCTGTTTTATGTAGATGTAGAAATTACCTTCAAAACTAAAGAGGCTCACTGCCTCATTCGCCAGACTGCTCACCACATCCCACAGCATCATACTCAGTTTATGAAGAGGCTATCATTTATTTGTAAACTCAGGATGTTTTGTAGTGTCGCTTGTGTTTTATAATTTATTAATACATCATGGTTGGAAATGCTATCCAAGTGCTATATGCATCGAAGTGTAAGTTTGGTGGATCTGTGGTGGTTTTTTCTTCTCACTCTAGCAAGTTCTGTTAACAGAGACACAGGCAGGGGTTAGGGGAGAAGTGAATCAGGAGAACAAGGATTAGAGTCCAGTCCTCAAAGTACAGGGCTTAGTTCAAAATCGAATTTGTTTCTATAGTAAGTAAGTAGCTGACGGGGAAAAGATCCTTCCCTTTTGAACTGGATGATAACAGGCTTGGAAATCAGCCTCCACGGGCCTAAGTGAAGGAGGATCTGGCCTCTTCCTGCTGGTTGAACACTAAGTTTTTGAGAAGTACAGACAGTATTAAGTTCCTAAATTTTCTAAGACACCCCACCCCCTGCCCTGGTGTTACTGAAGGGGGTTTAGAAAAGCAACTGGAGTTCCTTACCTTGGATATAGATAGTACCTGTTTTTTTTCTGGAGAAACCAAAGCACTTTAATGAGTCTTACAACCCGTAATACTTAAGGCATATTGTCCCCTCACTAGATCTCTGAGAGGCAGGGAGGGGCTGGGGGCAGTAGTCTCATTTGAGAGGCAGCTAAACCTAGGAGAGAAAGCCTTGAGCTCGGAGTAAGGAGACCGGGCTCCAGGCCCACTTTCCTCGCTCACTATGCAACCTTGGGCAAGTCGCTTCACTTTGCTGGGCCTCAGGCTCCCCACTGGGAGACTGGGGAGTCATAATAGCTGCCCTTCCGGGACAGTGTAAAGAGAAAGTGGTATAGTTGATGGAAAGTGCTTTGAAGGAATGAAAGCTCTGTGCAGGAGCTGGGGATAATCATTTTCGATGAAGAACCTGAGTCAACAGCCAGCGATTGGCCCAAGTTCCCAGAGCAGTTTTATAGCAGAACCGGGGCTTGAGTCTGGCATCCCAGACTGTTCCCATGAGGTGCTGTCGCACCAGGTATGTGGATACGTGGACACACACCACACATACGTACTGATGTGTGTGCATGGGGTGTATACGGATGCATGTGTACAGAAGGTATGTGACATGGTGGAACAGCACAGGACAAAAACCCTGAGTTCTGACCCCAGTTTTGATAAGAGTCCTATGGCCTTGGAGATATTATCCAACTTCTCTGGAACACGGTTTTCTAGTCTGTAAAATGAGGACAGTATGCTAAATGATCTTTGTGGTTCTTTCAGCGCTAGTCATGTATGTATGTATATATAAATATGCTAATCTGTAGAAATGGCCGATTTGAAAATTGGAGGCAAGGCCTGCCCAAGTGCATTTCTTGTGTCAGAAACAGCAGATTCACAAATAAGTTCATAAAAATCTCATTTTAAATTCAATGGTGGTATTTGATGTCACTGTTTAAAATTCACCATTTGGATAAAAGATTGGTGCCGTTTTCAAAATTAAGTTCTTAGCTTACAAGTGTTTGCTGTTATAAATTTTTCTTAAATTCATTTGTTAAAGTCAAGAAGTCAACTATTCTGTACTTGGGTAGGTCCCGACAACCTGTTTACAAACAGGCCGGCTTTTGTGTGTGGGCCTTCACATAGCAATATAAGAAAGTTAGCTGTTGGCTTTATCATGATACATGTGAGCAGGCTACCTGGAGAACAGTGTGGAAAAGAAAGTTATAGTTCTCAAAAACTGGTGACATGAATTCATTGAGCTATGTGCCATTTCCAGTGTGAAGACATTGTTTGCTGGCTACGATCTCTGACTTTTTGTGGCATATGAGGTGTAAAACGTTGTCAAAAAAGAATCTGGTGTTTAAAAAGAATCAAACTATGGTGGCATTAAATGTTCACTTTTCTCCTACTCAGAGTCATGAATTTCTCTATTTGGTTTATCCTGAACGGAGGGGGAGACAATTCAAGGCCCAGGGCGGGTTCTTCTCACTGGAGCAAACACCTTGGCCAAGGACTTCCTTCCAGCCCCCAGGGGCTTCCTAGGATAAGGCCTGTCTCATCCCCCTGTGGGGCTGCCCCCAGCAAGTTCAGAAGCCCGTGCAGGGGGTAGGTGGACGTGGTGCTGTGTCCCAGAGCCCTGGCATTGTTCTGCCTCCCCGAGAGTCACAGGGCTGGTGATCACACATGGAAAGTGTGGAGAAGCTGGTGTTGATGTGGTGACGATGGTTTTGTTGGTCTGGTGACTGTCCCTCGGTGTGGTCGTCTCTGGGGCTGGCTCAAAAAGGAGGCATTCTCAGTCACTGCAGATGGCTCGGGCCTGGACACCCAGCCCCTTGTAACAACTGTGTTTGTCTCACCTGTAACTGGGCACATTCAGGTGAGAAAGCATGAAAGGTTAGAACCTAGGCCCCACCCACCCTCAAGGACAGTCTCTCCTCTACGAAGACCCTCCCCTGGGCAGCACGAGGCACTTCCCGAGATGCGGGTACCTCACCCGTCCAGTCGGCAAGTGCGCCACAGTCCAAGAGGGAAGCCAGCGGGCCACTCCAAGCAAGTCACACTCTTTAATCCTGGCCTGGCTCTGCTCTGAATCCGTGTCTCCTGCTCTGCTAAATCAGCCTGGACATGCACACCTCGCGGCTCCCCACCTCTCTTGTCCCCAGATCCTACACCAGACCCTTGTGGGCTCCCTTTGGGCCACTGTAACAGAAGCTGTAAGTTCTTAAGAAGCCGGGAGCTGTAAGGGTTTTCTAGACATAACGCCTTGAGTAGAAGAGCGGGTGAAGGTGCTGCCTGCCTCTGACCATCCCCTGGGAGAGGAGAGACCACAAACACAACACCTAGAACTGCTGCTAGCCCCGCGCTCTGCCCTCAGTGTTGAATTGTCTCCTAAAGCATTACTCTCCAAATTGTTAGTGACATGACTTCTATGCTTTTCATCCTTTCCACCCTGTCTTTTGGTCTCAGGGAGGACATTAACACTGTCCATATGGCCATGGCACCATGGCACACTCTTACAGACACAGGGACTGGACGGACTTAAAACCAAAGCTCGGTGACACCGCTTTCAGGCAGCAGCAGATTGGGCCATCCCTGCACCTGGGTGGAGAAAGTACCTCCTGGTCTCCTGTAGGGGCTGCTTCTGTGTCTGATGCTGCTTCTGCAGGCTCTTCCATTTGAAGTCTTTGTTTCCAGAAAACCCTTATCAACATACAGTGCACCTGAGTGTAAACACACTGGCCCATTAGCAGCCAGTGTGCCCCAGCTCCCATGGGTGTCTCTAGTTCTGTGTCTGCAGCATCTAGAACAGAGCTTGGAACATGGTGCTTAAACAATATGTTGAATGAATGAATGAATGAAAGAAAGGATCACTTTTAAGAGAAGAAGAGGGAGGAACAAAGATGTGGGCAAGAGTCTGAGGAAATGTCAGACTTCTTTAACAAAAGAACCAAAGGTCTGCATTGCAAATGCCTGGGTTGGGGTGAAGTCCCTAATTCACAAGGGCAAACACGTGCCCTTGGTTTAACAAGCACACAGCCTTGACCTTCTAGCCACTGAGCAGCCTTGGCCTTTGGACCTCCGGCAGCAATTTCCTCACCAAGAGATGGAAGCACGTGGATGCCTCTTACATTTATAAAGCCATCATGGAACAGACCTTCAGTGAGCGCTCCTCTGTCCTGGACACCGCTGGGACTGATGAACAAAACAGACTTCCGGCTTCGAGAACTTAGTAAGCTGGCAATACCGGCTGGCAAGTAGAAACCCCATCACGAACAGGCAAATGCAGTCCCCCTCCAGGTAGGGTCAGGGCTTCTCCTGCCTCCCCCGACCCCTACCACACGCTCCCTTTCATCTCTTTGGGGCCCTGGGCCAGGCCTCACCTCCAGAAGAGTCTTCTTGGGCCTGAGATTGAGACAGAAAGGAGAAGGAGAGGAGGGGGAGATAACAAGTACAGGTCACCCTGCAAGTCATTTTATTTTGTCTACAGAAATTCATTCCCCTGGAGACCCCAGGACAGCCCAGCCCCAGACCTGTCTGCCACCCCCATCGCCGCTCAGCCAGGCCCTCCAGCCCTTGCTCAAAAGCCTTCTTCCCACATTTGCTAAGAGAAGAATCGAAGAGGCCGAGGGGTTTAGGAGCAAGGGATGGACTGTCCCCCTAAGCTGCCCAGCCTCTCCATCAGGGGAGGTGACCTGGAGGCCACCCGAGGGAGTTGCTCCGGGTGCTCCAAGTCCACCTGCATTCTGGATAAACAGCACGTTGTCTGTTTTTCGTTTATAATTGTTAAATTGCCTTTGCTCAGCCCACCCTTTGGGCCCCTTCCCTCTCCAGGGCCCTGGGTCCAGATGTGTATATTACACCACCATGCATGTGCTCAGAAGAAAAACTCGAAATAAAGGCTTTCTTTCAGACCGTGGGAGCTCCACAGACCCCCAGTTCTCTAAAGAGCCAGCAAGGAAAATGCCTTTTTTTTTTTTCAATCTGGACATTTGAAAAGCTGGAAATAGAAAATAAAAATTTTTAGTCTCACTCCAGAGAGAACCATTTGTATTATTTTATAGACACACAGAAAAACCTGTACAAATTTTGGATCATCGTGGACATAACTCTTGGAATTTGTTTTCTTCCTCTTAATAATCCTACCAGGCACATTTATTTCCCCAGACAGTGCATGTGCTCCTACCACTGGCTTTTAAGGGCTGCAGAACATTCCATCAGGTAGACTGACCATCATTTTGGTACTACAAGTCCCTGCTGTTGGACCTTAAAATTGTTTCCACTTTCTTGCTATGATAAATTACACTATAATAAACATGTTGAACATAAAATCTCTTTTTTGCCTCTCTGGCAAGTCCCTTAGGATAAATTCCTAGAAGTGAAATAGCTGTAACAAGAGGAATAAAACATAAAGTGTGTATTTTATACACACTGAGAGTGGCTATGTGTTAAATTGTCCACCCTAAACTGTACTTAGAGGCCTCCCCTGATGGCCCCATTTATAGTTATCTCTTCCTCTCTAAATTGCTATTTCATTGATTCACTTATTCGTTCATGCCACAAATATATATCAAGGAGTGCCAAAGTGGGACGGGCTCCTGCTGTAAGATGCACAAGGTTCTTAGTATACATTTCTTTGTATCTAATGTAGGACATGTATATCTGTCTCTAAATATTAGGCTCTAGAGGTGTAGAGGAGGCAAAACTTTACCTTCCCTCTTAGGGTCTTCTGCTGGGCCTTAGAATTAAATTGACACAAGACTGAATAACCGGAGGAAGGCATACACACTTATTTAATATAAGTTTACATGCCACAGGAGCCCTCATTAAAAAATGAAGACCCAAAGAAGTGGGGAAACCTAAATGCTTTTAAACTCGGCTGAACAAAGAGGCAGCTGTGGAAATGGAACTAAAATGTGTGGGGAGGCTACAGGAAGATGAATTCTTTTAACAAAACTGTTGGTGCAGATTTCTCTCAGCCTTGACTCCCCATCCCTGATGATAAGAATGTTTCTTTTCTCCTGGTACTAGGAGGGCATCTTTCACCTGGAAGTTGTATCTCCTGTTTTTAGGGAGAAAAGAGGAGATCAAAACACCCTTCTTGCATCTGCTGTTTTTCGGGTGCCTTTAGCTCACAGTAATCCTCATGCTGAGCTGGCATATTTTGGGCAGTAGGTTCTGCAACTCTCCCAAGGGTTGGAGGTCTTCTTATGGTCCCTCGCGTCTAGCATGGTGCTGCCCACAATGTAAGTGGTAAGATCAGAGGGTTTAAATAGTCACTCTCAGAAAGGAAGTTTTATACACATTATAGATATACATGTTTTGGGAGCATTTCCCTGAGAATTCTGACATCCGTCTTAACTCTTGACCAAGGAGCGGCGAAGCCTGGGTGCCAGTTTGAGAACTGCCTCTCGCAGCGGACTTTGAGGAAGTCTCTGAATATCTCTGGGCTCAGATACCTTGTCTGTGTAGAACTGAAGCCTCGTCTGTCTGGCCTGGGTCTCTCGGGCTTGTTCTGAGGATGAAAGGAGTCGCTGTATGCAGAAGGATGTCAGAATCTATTAGAATTGGCTACGTGCTCTCCAGATGTAAGGCAGTAGAGTGAAAGGCATTTGTTTTAATAATTAGAGCAAAGACTCTTCCGACAGGCCTTCATTTCTCCCATAGACTGTGCCTGTTGCCCAGTGGCCTCGTTCAGCACGTGTCCACCCCTTTGTGAACGTCGGTGGCCTCCACCTGACGGACGTTCGGAGGCCGAGTGTACGTGCCCCCTCCCTCAGCCCCGCCCCCAGGTGGATGATTGAGAAGGCCTGGGGGCGATTCTGCTGCAGGTGTAACTTGGTCCGCCCGGAGGCTCCCGGCGTCCCGAGGCCGTGCCTGCTCTCCGTCCTCAGGCGCTCGGAGGACACCCCCGCCAAAGGCGCGCAGGCAGGCGGCTCTGAGGGCAGAGCGGCCAGCCTTGCTCAGCGTGGAGGGGACACGTGTCCAAATGGAGCACCAGACCCCAGGCCTCGCTCCAGAGGGACAGTTCCGGGCTCGCTGGGCATCTGTACCCCCCTCGGGCAAGGTAGGTGGAGATTATATTTTTCAAGTCGACCACATGTCTTCAATTCCTCCTATTTTACTGAGAAATATAATTTAAATGTCTTAGAAATTAATTCATGAGCCTCCTGGTTTGATTCAGGTAATGAAACTTGAAGTGCTTATTACGGGGGCTTCTGTGGTGTGTACCAGAGTCCTTAATGTGCTGACTAACCACTCCCGAATGGGGGGTTCAGGCTTCACTGCAGATGCTAACTAACCACCCCTGAGCTGTACACGGAAGCTCCGGCTCATTGCCGTCCATACTGACTGCTTTCAAGTAAATGAGCACCTGCTAGCATCGCCTCCTGCAGCCTTGGTGCTCCATTTCAACGCCGCCGGATGAAGCCGGTGGCCATGGAGCTTCTACCGAACACCAGTGCTCTGAGAAACGAGGAATTACGGCTCGAGACCGCATTGTGTATTCGCCGGGTCCGGTCAGAGGAGAGGCAATCCCACCCTAGAGGCCGAGGCGGCCCACCAGTGGGGGAGGGGGCCAGGGAGGACCCGAGCAGTTTGCATAAGCGAGGGGCAGGCGGAGGTCCCGCCCGGCTCCGCCCCTCGCAGGGCGTGGCCGTAGCACCGCCCGCGGCGCCCGGCGCGCACGCGGAGGAGGGCGTGG